CCGGGCCCTGCGCCGCGCTCACCGCCCGGCTCAGGGGCTCGGGGGCCCGCCGCCCGCCGCCGCCCGCCGCCGCCCGCCGCCGCCGCCGCGGGGCCCCGTCGGCGCTCGGCCGGAGACGTCGGCACAGACAGCCGCGCGGGAGCCGACCCTTCGCTGAGCGCCGCGGGCAGAAAACGCAGCGGACCCACTTCCGGTCCGTCCGCGCGGCTCCGCCCCACCCCGGCTCCGCCACGCTCGGGTTCCGCTCGCCCGCCGGACCGCCGCCGCGGGGCTTCCGGCGCGCGGGGTCCGGGCGGGATCCGGGCGGGATCCGCGGGCTTCGGCCCCGGGACGTGAGCCCGCGACTTCCGCCCGCGGCAGCGGGGCGCCGTTCGCACCCCGCGTGCTGCCCGGAGCCTCGGTGCTCGCGCTGAGCGGCCCCCCGCCGGGACTCACGCTCTGCGGCCTTACGCCCCCCCCCCCCCCCCCCGCCTCCCCCCCCCCCCCCCCCCCCTCCCCCTCCGCCCACACGCCCCCAGCACCCACTCCCCGCAGCCCACCCTCCCACACACACCCTCACCCCCACGCCGCCGCTCACCCTGCTGTGCTTCCTCCACCTGCGCACCCTGCCCCCCCACCGACGGCCCCCTCCTCGCTACAGGCCTTAATTTCCCACTTTTTACAGAATGTATTACTACTTTCTACAACTGATTTTTCTTAAACGTTGAGCACAGGCTCCTTTCCACGTTTCAAAGCGCCGCGTGGCTCTTCTGCCATGAGTCTGGTGCTCAGAAATCTGCAGCGCGCTGTGCCCGTCAGGAGGGGGCGCCTTCGCAAGAGGATGGAGATCGTGAGGCGCGTGCTCGGGGTGCAGAAGTTCGACCTGGGGATCGTCTGCGTCGACAACAGGAGTATTCAGCACATCAACAGCGTCTACAGAGGGAAAAACATCCCAACTGATGTGCTTTCCTTTCCATTTCATGAGGTAAAAAGTATTCTCTTGTCTGGCCTACGTTCTGGTGTAAACATTCTGATTTTTAAGTTTCATTGTGAAGACTTTAAAATATACACATAAGTAGAGTACAGCAGGAAAGCCCCTTTGACCCACAAGCATCGCCCGAGGAGGAAAGGCAGCTGGGTCCCCCAGCCCTCCTAATGATGTCAGTGAGTTAAACCGAAGTACAGAGCCTCTGCAATTTTTTTTAAGATCTTTTATTTATTTTTAAGTCATCTCTACACCCAACGTGGGCTCAAAGTCACAACCCCAAGATCAAGAGTCACATGTGCCACCCACTGAGCCAGCCAGGCGCCCCTGCTTCTGGAATTTTAAGTGTGATTCGGTAACAAATATGCATGGTCGAAATTTTTAAATAACCCTGAATTCTTTCACTGAAAATGAAAAATAACACTGAAAAACCACTTAAGATAGTGATTAGGTTACCACCTCCATGGTGCACATGGCTCAAGGCTTCCCACATTGCTCGTGCATATTCGGCAGTACTCTCGAAGGGCACGAGAGACATGCGTGCACTGTGTGATCCATTAGTGTTGCCGCTGAGGAAGGAGGATGTTCTAGTATGAGCGTCTTAAACATTCACTTGGTATTTTTTTCTAATAGGGAGGAAACACGTTAGTACCCTAAATATCCGTCTGCAGGACTGGCTTAGTGTGAACAGCCCTCAGATGAATGGACTGGTTGTTTCTTTTTTATGTGGGAAAATGTGGAAGACTGCTTAGGACAAAATAACAGAAAGAACAGAGATACAAAGTTGTACCAGCGTGGGTCTGTGTGATCACGCGCTGAAGAGGTGAAACAGACAGGAAAGCACCTCGTTCATCTTAGGTCGCCTGTAAAGAGTGGCCCTGCTGTGGCCCCCCCACCCCTCACCTGCCCTGGGACTACTGAGTAGGAATCCTCCGGAATGAAGGCTGTAGGCCTGCCGTCAGATTGGTTCCTGAGGTCATGTTCTCCAAATCTGTATTTCCTCATTTCCAGAATATAAAAGCGGGGGAACTTCCCCAGCCTGATTTTCAAGATGACTACAATTTGGGGGACATTTTCCTAGGCGTGGAGTGTATCTTCCAGCAGTGCGAAGGGGACGAGGACTACTATGACGTCCTTACTGTGAGTCGACGCTGAAACAACAGGCCCTGAAGAGAGGGCAGGGATGGGACGCCTGCCTCCAGCTGTCTCTCAGGAAGGACCGGGGTTATCGGGGGAGGGAGACCTACCAGCAGGGGCAGCAAGGACCCGCTCTCATCATCCCACAGAGAGAGCGAGCGAGCCCAGGCCATGGGCCTGCTTGCCCCCAGCAATGTCGGGTGAGGGCAGAGGACAGGAGACAGGTCAGGAGCTCCCAGAAGCGCCTTGTCTTTAGCTTTTACCCCTGGAGCTCAGCAAGCTGTGTTCAGCTAACTCAGATCTGCTGAGTAGGCTCCTTACAGAACAGTAGCCTCCAGGACCTTCCAGATCTGTCTCTCCTCAACCTGACGGCAAAAGGGGGAGGGGTGTTCCGAAAAGCGATTGTATCTTAACTTTCCTGTGGATTCTACTGAAGTGTTTTCCTTTGACCAAACAGCCACACCCTGAACTAAGTTTAGGGGATCCTGGTGCTTCTTTGTGACTTGAAGCAGAGCTTCCCAGGGAGAGCCATGATGAGCAGGCAACGGGGCCTGCTTCCTTGGGCCACAGTGGGACTTTCTGGGAGGAGGAGGCTGTGCTTTCTTCTTGAGCGTGGCAGGAGCCCTGGCCTAGGCAGGATTGCTCAGCATGGGCTTTAGCTCTGGGATCTCTGTGGCTGGCAGCGGTGCACCCCTGTGGGGCTGTTGTGCGTATCTGCTTCAACCTCCGCCTCCCAGAGATCCCATTACCGGCAGTGGAGGGCCAGCCCACCAGGCCTGGGACCTTCTCCTCGCCCCCAACTGCACGCAGGCACCTTTTCAGCCCCAGGTACCCCCCACCTACCCCTAGGTTCCTAACCTCCCACCCTGCAGGGGCTGACTTCTCCCTGCCTTCCCTCCCCCTCCCCCCCCCCCACACTCCCCAACCCCTGGGTCGGGGATTGGCCATGATCAGTTCCTGAAACAGCTTTTTAATTGTTCTGACAGGTGACTGCCACCCATGGGCTCTGTCACCTGCTGGGCTTCACACACAGCACAGAGGCTGAGTGGCAGAAGGTAGGAGCTGTCCTCCAGTCCTCCAGCACAGAGGGTGCAGTGCCCTGTGCACCAGGTGCCCAGGAACCAGGGCTGCCTGAGCTGTCCCTGCAGTCAAGTACAAAAACCAAAATGGGGGGGGAGGGGCCTAGGGGTGGAAAAGCAGTAAATTAAGGATTTTATAAACGCCTGCTTTATCGAAACAAAACAAAAAGACTAACATTGTTTGTTTAAAATATTGGGATCCCCAAAGGCTACTAACTATATCACTTATTCGTTGTTGAAAGGAAGGGCTGAGTAGAGAGCCTGGATTCTCTAAATTCTATAAAATTCTAATGGCTTAAAGTCAAAAAACCTTTACAAGAGAAATTGTGATGATATTTATCAGGTGGGAACAGGATTCGGAACATGCAAGCATCTGATAGAGACCTACAGGCTAAAGTTATTTAGCCATTTGTTTCCCTGAGAAATGACAATATTTACCCCATTTATAAGGGTGTATGTTGGCATATGCACCATATTGTATTTAATAAACTCAAATTATATTTGTAATCAAATCATCAGACTCTCTGGAAGGCATACAAATTTTTTTTCAATTAGCAAAAAAGTCCTTGATACAGTTGTCCCCACATCCAGCCCATCTCAGGCTGGATCCCCACCAGGGACACCATGGCTCAGCTTCCTGTCCAAGTGAGAGGCTGACCCTGCTGTGGCCCCCGAGCCCCCCTCTGGCAGCATCTCGTAGAAAGCCCATGATGTCACCTCCAGCAGGGACCCCAGCCCTCCCAGGGCTTCCCCATCCACCTTCCCCAGGCACTGACCACTCTTTCCCCCAGGAGGGGCTGTCCTCACGCATCCCCCTCCCATGGACTCTTGGCCCAGCTGACGTGTCTGGCCTGTTCTCCTACAGCCCCAGACAGGGTCTCCTCTTCTTTTACCCAAGACCACTCCTTGGGCCCCTGGACCCCAGTCCTCTGCTGGTCCCACCCTTCACCTCATAGGCATTCCATGTGCACAGTGCTGGGTGAAGGTGAGCAGAACCAGGTCCTGCACTTCGGCTTTGGGAGGCCACATGGTCGAGATCCTCATGCCACAGCCATGGACACGGGCTCTGGGACACCCCTGGGCCAGGCTGTTGGGGGGCGTCCAAGTTGGTTTCCACTCCTTTGTTTCAGATGTACCAGAAGGAGAAGCAGGTTCTCGAGGAGCTGAGCCGGCACACCGGAACCAGGCTCCAGCCTCTGAGCAGAGGCCTCTTCTGATGATACTGGAGGCCCAGCAGCCGGGTGGCACCCGAGGAATTCTCCAGAGCACAGAGACACCATGTGAACGGCAGATGGACCTTCCCTTTCAGGCCCTGAGGACCAGGGACTCCACCAAACTGAGGGCCTGCTGGTCACTGCTGCCCTGTGGGGCCACAGGAGTGACACACACTCGGGGGCAAAATTACACAAGTGGAACCTGACTGTTTTGTGAAAGTATAAAAGAAACGTGCATTCATTTCTTCATTTAGAACCTAGCAAACATATTTTCAGTATTGCAGATAAAGTAGTTCTAAGCTCTTAGGATGCAGAGTTGGAGCACAGGACCTTCATCCCTTGGGGTTCTGCCTGTGGCCAGAAGCATTTGTCTCTCCTGCCTCTGCAGCCTGCTCCAGAGAATAGAACAGGCAGCCCGGGGTTCCTCCTTCCTACAGGAACACCGTTGGCTTCAGTCGCGACTTACCCTTAAGAGCACTGTGACCTGGAACCTTCACTTGGTGCCTTTATGAGGAAGGGACAAGGCTGACCCTTAGGGTGGCTGCAAGGCCCAGGACAGCCTCAGCCAGGTGACCCACAGCGGACATCTCCTGCCCATCCCGCCTCCCTAGGTAGACACAGCCCCTGGTCAGGGGACCCTACCTAAGTCCTCTTTCCCGTGGCACCGCCGTGGCTGGAGCCTTAAAACCTTAGATCCCCCTGTCCACCCGCTGAGCCAAGTGTCTCCTGGCTGCAGGAGGCGCCCTGGGCTCCGACTGCCGCATCCCATCCTCTTTCCCGTCAGTGTTTCTTGCCTTTTCTTCTGATACTAAAGTAAATGCAGGAGGCATCACAGAGACTTATCCAAGCTGTTTCTGGGCCCAGGGCATCACGGGAGTGGGCCATAGAGGTGCGCTGAGCCAACCCCAGGCCTCCACCGCCTGGGCCTCCCAGGGACCGGCGTTGGCAACAGCACCACGAATTCTGTCAAGGAGCTCCGAAGAGGTCATGGCAATGAAACGCGGCCTCAGAGACTCTTTGGTCCTAAAACCAGGGATACCACAATTCTGAGAATCTGGTTTCTCCCACGAAGCCACTTGAAAGACATGAAAATGCATTTCCCACTGGATTTATTGTCAGCCTGGACTTTCCCAGGCCCTCGGGGACACAGAATTGGGCTTGTGGCGCTCCTGAAGCCTTGGGTATGCATGCCTGCTTATAGTGAAGCTCGTTCTGGGCAGAAAGTCTTAGCAAAGACCAAAGGTGACCCCACAAAGCTCTTGGCTCTGCAGTTCTTTTTAAGAGACTGAAGGAGGGGCGCCTGGGTGGCTCAGTCGTTAAGTGTCTGCCTTCTGCTCAGGTCATGGTCCCAGGGTCCTGGGATCGAGCCCCGCGTCAGGCTCCCTGCTCGGCGGGAAGCCTGCTTCTCCCTCTCCCACTCCCCCTGCTTGTGTTCCCTCTCTCGCTGTCTCTCTCTGTCAAATAAAAAAAAATTTTTTAAAAACTTAAAAAAAAAATAAGAGACTGAAGGGATCCCAAGACCTGCTACTGCTGTCAGCAGGAATTTCGGACATTCCCCCATGCCTCTCTGGTCATGTCGGGGGCACAGAGTTCTCCCTGGGTATGGGCCTCAGAGCAAAATGGCTGGGGGGCTAGGGGTGGAGTATCCAGCTTTATCAGGCAATGCCCAGTGCTTCCAAAGGACCTGGTTACTTGTCCCCCCCTGCAGCCCATAGCAGTGACCCTGGGGTCCAGACCCCAACCTCCATGCACCCTGACCCCTCCCTTGGTCACATATGCACTGAGGCTGTCCTGCATTTCTCATCACCATTGGCTTCCCCTCCACTGTAACTGCTTGTCTTATGCTCATTTTTCTTTTTTTTTTTAAGATTTATTGGGGCGGGTGGAGGAACAGAGAGAGAGAGGGAGAAAGAGAATCCCAAGCTGACTCCCCACTGAGCAGGGAGCCCAACCGACAACGGATGACATGGCCTCAGCCTCGTCACCCTGAGATCATGACCTGAGCCAAAATCAAAAGCTGGCCATATAACCGACTGAGCCACCCAGGCGTCCCTCATGCTCATTTTTCTATTGATTTTTCTTTTTTATGGATTCAGAGGGGTTCTTACATATCATTGAACACAACAGAGCACATTGGCCAGTGTCCGTGTGACCTAAATCTAAGAAAAGTCCTCCCCACCCAGCCATGGAGCTCTGCCTTGGCTATTTGAGTCCACCTGTCACTTCTGTCCGCCCCGACCTGGCTACCATGCCCCGGTTCCAGAGCTTCTGCAAACCCAGGCTCTGCCAGGATTGGTCCCTCCTCCTGCTCCAGGGGTCCCTTGGGCTCCTTGGCCCTCTACACTCCTGTGTGTATTCAGAAATGCAGTTAATCTACCTCAGGCCTACGTGAGGAAGCCCCCATAAGTCCCAATAGCACAGGGTTCAGAGAGTTTCCGGGTGGGTGCACACGTCCACACGGTGAGGGTGACGCACCCCACGGGACGGAAGCTCCTGTGCTCGCGACCCTCCCAGACCCACTCCATCCCTTATCACCCCCTTAAATAGACTGGTTAATGTCAGTAAGTGTTGCCTGAGTTCTGTGAGCCGCCCTAACAAACTAATCAAACCTGAAAAGGGGGTCATGGGAACCTCTGCTCCCTGACCTAGTAGGTCAGAAGCACAGGGGACAACCTGAATCTGCGGCTGGCATGGGGGAGTCTCATGGGACTGAGTCCTTACATGGGTGGATGGTGTCAGAACCGAGTGGGGCTGCAGGACACCCAGCTGATGTCAGAATTAGCAACTAGAAGTGATAGAAGGGTCTGTTCTGCCTGTGAGTAAAGGAGGTTCGCAGAGAAAAACGGGGTTTTCCTTACTCAGGACGCAGACAAAACAGTTTTTCCAATTTATTAGGCCATCCCAAGACAACCAACTTCTGCCAAATTTATTCCCCATATTGAACTAACAATTATGTTGAGAAATAAAACCAAACAGGAAAACCATGTTAGAAAATGTCAATGTGAAAATAAGAAATTGAGTCAGAACTTTAATTGCATTTCACAAAAGCATGTGCCAGGCACACCGTGTGGACCCCTGCCGCTCTCCTGCCTTGGAGGCTCCCTGAGCAGGGGTCCAGCCCGAGGGAGCTGAGCTGCGTGGCACCTCCTTAGCCACCTGCTTCCACCTGCTTCCCAGGCCAGCGTTCCGGCGAGCCTGCAGGGTCCACGGAAGCAGTGAGGAGGACTGGGCTCTTGCTGCTGTGGAACTTTGGGCACGGAAGGGTTTACCCAAAAGGGGCTGATGAAAACGTGTAGCACTTAAAAATGACATTTACATGAAAATTACATTAAAACAGCAAGGGATGGGGCGCCTGGGTGGCTCAGTCGGTCAAGGGTCTGCCTTTGGCTCAGGTCATGACCTCCGGGTTGTGGGATCAAGTCCCCTGCTCAGTGGGGAGCCTGCTGCTCCCTCTGCCCCTCCCCCCCGCTCATGCACGTGCTCTCAATAAGTAAATAAACAAATCTTTAAAATAAGTAAAGCAGCAAGGGAACATGATTCCACCAAGAAAAAAAAGGTCACGAAAAGTGAAGAAAGAGTAAAGGTGACGTTCACGTCAGAAGCCCTGACAGAACCAAGAAGAACAAACACACAGAGAAAGCTCCCTTTCCTCAGCCCCCTTCAGAAGGAACCACGTTCAACCTCGAGTGTCTCCCTTCTAGGAGAAAGCTGTGCAGACCAGCAACGACACCTCTCCACACCTGAAGGCACCTTTCCACGGGAGAGCCCAGCGGGCCGCTTGCCTTGCTCCGTTCACTTAGCAGGAACCCTCACTCCTGCCCCCCACGTGGCAGGCAGAGCTCCCAGTTATCATCATGTTTGACTTTGTTTATGGTGTAAGCAGCTAATTCCACCAATCTTTTCTCTTACGGCTCCTGGGCCATCTTTCCTGATGAAACCCTGTATTCCCTCCCTCTTGACTCGCGGTCCTGCATCCAGGGACAAGGCTGCAGCCTTCTGCCGGGCCTCCCCGACCACACCCGATGCCCCCAGAGTCCCCAGGACTCTGCTGCTCACCAGAGTCCACATGTGGAGGCTCACAAGCCCGGAGCCTGCGTGGGCTGGACGCCATCAGATGCCACCCTAGGAAAGCTTGGATATGTGGGTGCAGTTACTGCCCTGGCCTCGCATGCAGACACCACACTACAGGTGAGCCGTGCAGCCAGGGCTCAGGTGCAGGTCCCCAGAGCCCTGCTCATGCTGGACAAATGACCCAAGCCACAAGCAGCTTCCCCAGGAGGTTGGCCTGGGGTCCATTCTCAGACCGGGACCTCCAGGGGCTAATACTGCCAAGGACCCACCTGCCTCCCTGGGGAAGATGGGAGGGCCTTTCCAAATTCCCTGCTACAGCCTAGGACCAGATAAAGATGGGTCCACTGGCTTGTCAGCAGGCGTGAGGAGGTGCAACCCAGTCCCTAGGTATTCCCACCCACAGAACAAGAAGCTGGCCTTGACTTACGGGCTAAGGGCTGCTGATGAGGGGCCAGCCAAGTGGTGCAGGGCTGGCAGGAAGCTGGAGGCAGGTGGGAGGGCGGTGGCCGAGACCACCGTGGGCCACGTGCAGTAACCAGCCAGGGAGCCAGGTGCTGGGATGGCCTGCAGGGGACCTGGGGGCGCGTAGTGGTGGTGGTGATGCACGGAGGGCCGCTTCTGCCTCTGGCTTGCAGGAGAACAAGGGGAGCCCGCTGCAGGTCGTCAGCACAGCACACACACCAGCCCATTTCAATGGGGGAGGGGGGAGGAGGGAGGGAGGGGAGGAGGGGGGGCCAGGCCCCAGCAGAGTTCATCTGGCTCTAGGAAGCAGCTTTCTGGGCCCCAAACCGCGTAACTCATTCTTCAGCTAGGTGGGAATGGGGAGTGTCAGGGGGTTTCACAAGCAGATCACAGACCCAGGAGTCAGAAATGTGCTTTTCAGAGTTACACAGATGCACGGACTTCAGAAGAAAAGCCACCCAGGTCCTCTGGTTTTGATTTGGGTGGCCTCCTTTACCTCCGTGCCTGTCCCCAGCTGAGCCTACCTGAGCAGTGGCGTACAGGGGGGCGGCCTGTGATCCCCCGGAGGGCAAAAACGCTGGCGAGGGCAGGGCTTTGAGCATCAGGTTTTGCATGATGATCTGGTGCATCTGTGCGTTCTGCATCAGCATCATCTCCACCATGTCTGAAAGGAGAGGCTCCATCACTCACAGACCACACGCTGATCATCAGGCCTCTCCTGAGGACAAAGATTTAGAGCATCGCCGACGCGGAGACACACTCAGTGCTCCACAAGCAGGAGGCCCTACGGGCATAGGCAATGGGGATGTGTTCTGAGGTGCGAAACTTCGGGGTTGGAGGATGTGTGTGCTTTAAAGTGTTGTTGTGTCCACTGGGCTCCGGAGAGGCTGCTGCACTTCTCATTCCCGCAAATGGGGGCCCCCGCAAGTGTGTCCACATCCTGATCCCCAGGAGCTCTGAATGTGATCTTACTTAGAAAGAGTCTTTGCAGACGTAATTAAGAATCTTGAGATGAGATCATCCTGGATTATCCAGCTAGGCCCTGCATCCAAGACACATGTTTTGTTTTTGTTTTTGCTTTTGTTTTTAAGGTTTTTTTTTAAGATTTTTTATTTATTTATTTGACAGAAAGAGAGAGAGCAAGAGCAGGAACACAAGCAGGGGGAGGGGCAGAGGGAGAAGCAGGCTTCCCGCCGAGCAGGGAGCCCGATGGGGGCTCGATCCCAGGACCCTGGGATCACGACCTGAGCCGAAGGCCGGCATTCAACCAACTGCGCCACCCAGGCACCTCAAGAAGACAAGTGTTTTTATAAGAGAGGCAAAGGGAGGTTTGAGACAGCAGAGGAGAGGCCACATGGGGATGGGGCAGAGATGGGACCCACGCGGCCACCAGCCAGGACTACCTGGAGCCACCGCTGGACAGGACAGGAAGGACCCTCCCTGGGAGTCTCTGGAGGGAGCCTGGCTATGTGACACCTGGGTTTCAGAATTCCGGCCTCCAGACTGAGAGAAAGTACATTTCTGTTGTTTTAAGCCCCCAGGCCTGTGGTACTTTATTACAGCCACCCCAGGAAACCAATCTCTTCACCAACTCTGGTTAATAAGAAACACGTTTTTGTCAGTGCAAGAGGTAAACATGAGTTCTTCCCACAGCCTCGAGGCTCTGTCAGCCTCACCAAGGGCAGGCAGGTCCCTAAAACCACTCACACTCCCAGTCAAAAAAGGGGAGCCTGGAGGCTTGGGCAGGGGCTCCCGCAGGGGTGTCCAGGAGCCGGGTAGGCAGCAGCCTTGCCACTGGAATTGGCTCTTTGTCTCCAGCCAGCCCTCCCTGCAGATTCTGGGCTAGCCAAGCCTCCATAATCACATTGGCCAATTCCCTAAAATACATCTTTCTATCTGGACATGTCCTGTTGGCTCTGTTTCTCTAGAGACCCTTGATTAAAAGATTTTGTCCCAGGCCTAAGAGCAATGGGGTGGTGGGGGGCACAGAGCCAGATTCGCGCAGCAATACACCTGTGGGAACTCTTATCCCTGCAAGACAAGAGCGTGGAGAGGCTTAGTCTGGCAGCCCCGTTCTGGGCAAAGACCCTTGAGGAAACCCATTTTCCTCAAGGCCGATGTTACTGCCTCAGGGTAAGGGGCACACGTTGGTGTTGTGGGGAAGGAGGGTCTTCGATAAGTGGCACAAGGCCAAACCGATATCCATGGCAAAGATAAACCAGTCCCTAACTCAGAGCTCACAAAATCTGTTCCAGGTGAGTCGTATATCTCAATGTGAAAAGTCAACCAAACCGTAGAACATCTTCATGACCTTGAGTGGCTAAAGGCTTCTTACACAGGACAGAAAAGGCACGAACCCATAAAGGAAAAAGCCTGAAAAACAGAACTTTATTAAAAATTAAGAACTTGTGTTCATCCAGAGACACCACAAAGAGAGCAATTTGCAATATGTGTATCAAAAAGGACCCATGTTAGAATACATGAGGAATTCCTAGAAACCAAGGAGATAGGCAGATGACCTGGAAGAAAAATGGGCAAAACACTTGAAAGGCCACGTCACAGAAAGAGTATTCAAACAGCCAATAAATATATGAAAAGGTGACATGCAATTAGAATTGGAAGGAGCCGCCATGCCCACCAGATTGGCAAAGATGAAACAGTCTAAGGACACCGAGGGTTGGTGACTTGCTGCAAGCAATTCTTGTTCACTCCTGTGGAGTGTCGACAGGTACTACTGATGAGAGAAACAAAGGCAAGAGAAATGTAGCTTAAATTCAATCTCCTTACAGCTTGCAGCCCACTGATAGATTCCAGAGATGTGCAGAGTGTAACCTTCCTCAAGGAACTGCCTTAGTGCCTTCATGTTGAAAAGGAACCTTATCTTCACAGCAGCTAGCCCCTCAAGGTCCTGAAAGCCTCGCTTCCAGGTTCCTTAGAGACTTACGCTGTCCCTAACCCCCACTAATTAGAAAGTATATAATCAGTCGCTCCTCACAATGCCAGTGTGACTCCTTCTGCCCACGGGTCCTATCCCCGGGCTTTAATAAAAACACCTTTTGCACCAGAGACATCTCAAGAATTCTTTGACTGTGGGCTTGATGATCCCACATCACTACCACTTTGGAAAACTGTCTGGCAGTGTTTCCTGACCCAAACATCTCAGCCCTAGGCATCGGCCCCACGGAAACGTACATGTCCATTCCCCAGAAGATGAGACCGTGTGGTGGCTCCACAGCCCCAAAAGAACAGGCCCACAATTTGTGGGATAATAATGTGATTGAATAGTGTGGTCAGCTGCATGATGGACCCCTAGCATGTACACACCCTAATCCCCGGAACCTGTGAATTGTGTCTTGTTATATGGTGAAAGGGATGTTGCCAATGTGATTAAGAGTCTTGGATGGAGGGGCGCCCGGGTGGCTCAGTCGGTTAAGTGTCCGCCTTTGGCTCAGGTCATGATCTCGGGGTCCTGGGATGGAGCCCTGTGTCGGGCTCCCCATTGGCGGGGAGTCTGCTTCTGCCCCCCACTCATGCTCTCTCTTGGCCTCTCTCTCTCTCTCAAAGAAATAGATAGGATCTTAAAAAAAAAAAAAGTTTTGGATGAAAGCAACCCAAGTGTCCATCAACAAACAAAGGGTTAAAAGAATGTGGTCCATCCATCCCATGGAGTATTATTCAGCCTTAAAAAGGCAGGAAAGTCTGCCACCTGCCACCACATGATGAAACTCGAAGATGTTCATTATTCCACGTGAAATGAGCCAGTCACAGAGGGACAAATACTGTACGATTCCTCTCATAGGAGGTACTTGAGTCATCAGATTCAGAGAGAGTAGGGTGGTGGGTGCTGGGGGCTGGTAGGAGGGGACCCGGAGACACAGTTTCAGTTTTGCAAGATGGAAAGTTCTAAAGATCTGCCGCACAACAACGTGGATCCAGTCAACACTACTTAAACATGTTTAAGATGGTAAATTTTATGTTTTTTAACCACAACTTATTTTCAAGATTTATGTATTTATTTGAGGGGGGTGGGGGCAGAGGGAGAGGGAGAGAGAATCAGAACCTGAGCTGAAACCAAGAGTCGGACCCTTCACTGACTGTACCACCCAGGCACCCTCACCACGATTTTTAAAATTAATTAATTTTTGAAAAAGAATCTTGAGGTGGGGAGATTATCCTGGATTATCTGGGTGGGCCCAACATAATCACAAGGGTCCTCAGGAAACGTTGAGAGAAAATAAATATCAATTTAGATCTGAATATCCAGCAGCTAGTATTTAAGAACAAGGGGAAATAAAAACATTTGCCAGGAGGCAAACACTGAGGGAGCTTCAAGAGACTGTTCTAAAGGAACTTGGAAAGGGCTTATTTCAAGATGGTAGAAGATAATTCCAGAAGGGTGATCTGAGATACAACCAAGGGTGAGTAGGATGTCAGGATCATTTCTGTAGGAGATCATCCTGGCATCTAGTTTGGGAAGTTGTTCTAAAAGAGAAAGAGCAGTACTAACTGGGTGGGAGGAGGGGGGCGCGGTGCTCCAAGCTCCTTCCATCCCTGGGGGCAGGGGGCTCCAGATCCCACGCGTTCAACTTCATACTAAAGCCCAATGAATGGAAAAAACGAATAAATGAACAAAAAGCAGAATCAGACCTACAAATGCAGAGACCGGTCTGATGGTTGCTGGTGGGGCGGGTGGGGGTGGGGCTTGGGGAAAGTGGGTGAAGCGGAGAGACTGGGTCTACCAGTTACAGAGTGAGTCACAGAACAAACGGCACAGCTTGGGGAATACAGTCTATGGTACCGCAGTTTCTAAAATGCTCACGAGCTCCCCAGGGCGGTGGTTAGGGTACTTCTGAGAGGGCCTGTTTTTACCTTCAAATATTTGATCAGGTCAGAATTTGTTTGGGTGGGGCACCTGGGCCGCTCAGTCGTTAAGCATCTGCCTTTGGCTCAGGTCATTATCCCAGAGTCCTGGGATCGAGCCCCGCATCGGGCTCCTTGCTCATCAGGAAGCCGGCTTCTCCCTCTCCCACTCCCCCTGCTTGTGTTCCTGCTCTCTCTCTCTCTCTGTCAAATAAATAAATAAAATCTTAAAAAAAAAAAAAAGAATTTGTTTGGATGTAAAGAATGGGGTAAGGACTTGACCTTACTTTGTCTGAATAGTGAGATACGTATTGAGGATTTCATTTTTTTACCACTGATCTTCAATGCCACTTTTTCTCTTGTAAGGCATACAAGCATTTGCACACACAGGCGCATGGAGAGCACACACGGTTCTGGTCAGTTTGCCTTTGGAACCAGACAGACGCTCACTAAACTCGTCTGGAAAAACCACCAAGGAGAGATGGAGAAGACCAAGCAGGGCTGCCTCTGCGAGCACACCGGCTGCGCTTGGCCCCCGCAGGGCAACCTCGTAAGGGGCGCGGTGCGAGGCAGCCTCGGACCAGGCCTGGCACGTGTGACAACATTCAATGGACTTACAGTAACGAAAGAAGCTGGTAGTCGTCACTAGGGCAGAATTGAGAACACGGACCTGTGATTCTACACGCAGCTCTGCTCCCGGAGCCTAACACCCTTGGTCCTCAGGGAGGAAGGCTTTTGGGGGGGTGGATGTGTTCACTGCTAGATTAGTTGGGTTCATGGATAGACACATATGTCAGCTCTCATCAAACTGCACACTTTAAATTTGTGCAATTTGTTCTGTCATTTCAATAAAGCAGTTTTAAATCTCAAGTATTTAAAACTCATTTAAGGGGCACCTGGGTGGTGCAGTCAGTTGAACACCCAAATCTTGGTTTCAGCTCGGGTCATGATCTCAGGGTCATGAGATCGACCCCACATCATCATATTGCAGCATCTGGGCTCTGGGCTCAAAGGGGAGCCTGCTTCAGATTCTCTCTCCCTCTTCCCCTCCCTGCACCAAACCAAAACAAACAAAACAAAACTCATTTAAAAGGAGAAGCAATTTAGCCAGGGTTTTGTAGAGCTAGTGGGGATTGAACCCAGTTCTCTCGATTCCTAGTTCTTGTTTTCTTCCCTCAGAGATATCTATCATATAAGGGTTTCTTAAAGTTAAAATTATTTTGTGTTGCTAATATGTAGCTTCGACTGGGTAGCCAAAAGTTACAATGGTTATCCTGTTTATAAAAATATTTTTTGTTTTGATAGAGAATTTTATAAACCCATGACAGTATTAATATGGAACACTTACCTTCCTTAATACTTCCTGCTCTTTGAGTGGGGAAGGCCTGGAGAGGGGGAATCTGTGTGATGAGGGGCTGCTGAGGTAGCTGTTGAATGATGGTGGCAGGAGGCTGGGGGGCCTACAAAGAGCCAGATGATTAGTTC